TGTTCTTTAAGAGATTGAAGGCCGGGCGCGGTGGCTCAAGCCTGTAATCCCAGCACTTTGGGAGGCCGAGGTGGGTGGATCACAAGGTCAAGAGATCAAGACCATCCTGGTCAACATGGTGAAACCCCGTCTCTACTAAAAATACAAAAAATTAGCTGGGCATGGTGGCGCGTGCCTGTAATCCCAGCTACTCAGGAGGCCGAGGCAGAAGAATTGCCTGAACCCAGGAGGCGGAGGTTGCGGTGAGCCGAGTTCGCGCCATTGCACTCCAGCCTGGGTAGCATGAGTGAAACTCCGTCTCAGCAAAAAAAAAAAAAAAAGAGAGATTGAATGGAGGATGCTATAATATTCAGGATACCCGATATGAGCTAGATGGGACTTAGACACATCTGGAAGGATAGTGATCAACTGAATAAAGGAAAAAATGAGGAGACTAGGTAGTTGTTTCTGAGTGGAGAATCACAAGCAGAAGTTCAGAGGCCAGATAAGCACAGGCAGTGAAATCAGCAGAGGTGGTTATGAAGTTTAATACCAGAGAAAATGTAAGAATCATGGATAGATTGTGAAGCAGATGTGCACTGCTGGGAGCCTTGAATGCCAGGCAAGGAAAAGTCCCCAGAGTTCCTGAGGAAGGCTGTGACAGTGAAAGAGGCAGGTGATGTTTCAAAAATACTCGTTGAGTGGTGGTGTGGTGATGCCTTGGCATGAAACAACACCGGTAGCAGTGAGACTGGCTAGGAAACACTGCAATAATCCAGGTACCATGTGGTGAGAAATGTGACCAAGGTCATAGCAATGGCCATGCAGAGAAACAGGCTGATATGGGATGTATTGCAATGTGCAGGTTTAATTAGTTTTTGAGACTCACTAAAGGGGGAATAAGATGAAGGAAAAGTCAAATTTTTCAGCCAGAGTAATTGGGTGAATAATGGCTATCCTCATAACAGACTAGCTAAAATAAAGGAAAAGAGAAGTTGCAGAGATTATGAAAATCACTTTTGAGAACATATTTGCTCTATTTTAAGTAACTTTTGGAATGATGAGCAAATAGCAGTGTCCCAGTAGGTATCTGGAAATGCTGTGTTGGAATTTGGCGAAAATTTTCAGCTGTGACTATAGCTTTGATGTCCAATTTTTTGCTTAAAAATAGTAGCCAAAGACACAAGACTAGAGATATTCCCAAGGGTGTATGTATGAAGAGAATATTAATGAGCTGGGGACAGCTGTGAGAAGCACAAATGAGAAGGCAAGAGGAAACAGGGGAACCCGTGTGTGTGTGTGTGTGTGTGTGTGTGTGTGTGTGTGTCGGAGAGAGAGGGAGACTATTACAGAACCCCAGGAAGATGATTTTAAGGAAGCGACAACAATACCAAAAAGTCCAGAAGCCACAATAGCTTGAAGACTTGCAAGGTGGTCAATTTCAGCCTTCCGGAGCACAATAAAATATTTCTGAAAAAGGGAAAGCTGTTTACCTCTTTCAGTTTCTTTTCCCCCAGATGAAAGTTTGACATCTTTCATCTGGGAGAAAAGAAATTGAAAGATAATGTTTCTGTGAGAAATTTAATCCGTATAAACTATCTTTGATATTATTTTTTAAGGCATCCACTTTGCTAATGGTAAAAACGTGGAACTGTGTCACACATGCCAACTGATTTTTTTAACAATAAATTTAGTCATAGTCATATAAATTTCATCTCCAGTTGGGATAAATTGTAAAGGAGTGATGCATTAAAAGATCTGTTTCTCCCAAGTTTCTTTTGACATGACAGAAGCAAAGCAGGTGTTTTTTAATCAATTCTACTTTCCTACAGAAGGATAACATAATCTAGTTACCTTTTTTATCCATCAGAGGCACAGGGCTTTTCGGACATAGGGAGACATTTATGAGCACAAAATCGAGAACAATTAGCACTCAAATTAATGTTACATGAGATTCAACATCTGGTAAGTGTGTCGTCAATTTGGGTCATAGAACGCCTGCTAGGCTAAATGTTCATACAACAGCAATTCACCCTGCATACAAATGAAAAAAGAATGATACTGAAAAAATTTTTTTTCCAAATTTAACTGTATGTATATAGAAGTCTCTTACATTTTAAAACTTCAAATGGAAGTTAATAATGGGTCAAACACTCACAGGATGAAGCATATAGGATCAGAAGGAACAGAGAATATTTACACTTTTGCAAGCATATTTTATAATATGTCAGTATAATATTGTACTGACATTAGTTTCTATTTTACATAATCACTGCATATTAGTATTGGTCTACTCTTTATCAAATGTTGAAGGACAAGAAGAGGTTAACCACTCAAAGTCTTGACGCTAAGTATCTATATAAGAGTCCTCCAACATCAGGCTGGTTTGGGCTATAGGGCTGCACCAGAAAATGCCAAATCTCAAGGTTACTCAGCTGCCTTTTCAGACAATCCAGTTATTGCCAACTTCAATAAAACTAGTAAGCTCTTCCCCTGCTAATATTTCAGCAAGATATTCGCTTGCAAACACAGGTGTGTCTGTGATTATCAGCTGCAGATTTCAAAAGCAAAGAAACTTCCTGCACTTTTGAAATTGAAACGCAGAAATCACATTTTTACCTTGTTTATAAAATGAGCCATACTTTTTTTAAAAAAGGCATTTTGTAACACAAACACCAACTGAAGAAGCACCTAATACTGCAGTCGGCATGTTGAAATGCCTAAAATTCACTCTGTTAGTTTGAGAACTCTTGAGCATTTGCTGTAGTTTTCTAGATAGAGAGTGTTTACGGGCATTTGCATGGCATGCTTCCCATCAGTTTCTATACTGTGACCCTAGACCGTCACGGGGATAGTTTTGAGTGGCAAGCCTTTGTACTTTGGCATCCAGCTGCCTGATTTTCAATTCTGGTCCCTATGCTCAGTGTGTGGTCTTGGGCAACTTTGTAACCTCTGGAAGCTTCAGCTTTATCATCTGTTAGGTGTTCC